ATTGCCATCAAGATTCAGAAACGAAGGAAGTTCATGGCAGCTTGCAGCTCTGCACCTAATTTCCCCGTGGCACCCAGCTGCCAGGAGAACTGTGTGGATTTGCGAAATGAATCATTTCCCCAGGCCTATAACTATGATGTGTGTTTAGCAGGTGGTTCTCTGAATAGCGAGTTCCGATTTCTCAGACCTCTTTTCCCTGTTTTTCCTGTGGAGCCTTCCAACACCCATGTGAACCCAAGGAATTCAACTGATACTCAAGAAGTCTCTAATTGTGCAGAAGAAAATAATTTCATAGTCCAGGTGAGAATATTATTACTATGATTTTCATATAGTCTTCATTTTAAATGCTTAATAGTTGACAGTATGCCGTATCCATATTGGTAGCTCTTTGGTGAAATTTGGAGAAAAGAAATATAATCCAGATTACATTGAACTGTAGCAGATCTGAATGAGGGTTTCACATGGTTCTCTTCTTCTTGGTCTTGTATCTTTATTTGGAATCCTTGTCCGCATATCGGCAGGAGTCATGGCCATCTGCTTTATCTAAGGTATGACAACCTTGACATCTTTCTGGATCTGGATATTTTTTCTGTTCTCTTCCTGCAGTACATGAATAGGACTATCCAAAATCTGTAAGTGGCAGGAAGATTATAGAATGTGTGCTGGCAATCTTTTGCTTCACATCTTTATGGCTGTGGTGAGGTTCATGGACTCTATCCCATTTTACTATTGCCTGCTTAATGAAAGGGATTCCCACTGTGGTGTATTGGATAGGGTGATGGACTAGGACTCCGGAGAACAGGCTTTGAATCCCCACTTGGCCATGGAAACTCACTGGGTGAGCTGAACAATAAAACTGTTCTTAAATATCTCAGTTACTCTGAAAGCCTTATTAGGGATGATATAAATTGCAGGGGAGCTGAATAATAAAACTGTTCCTTAAATATCTCACTTACTTTGAAAGCCTTATTAGGGATGATATAAATTGCTTCCAACATGACAGCACAGAACACACAGACATGCTTAAAGAAAAAAAAAGCTAGGTAATAGATATACTGAAGGATTTAAAACTTGGGTTGTGAGAGCTCTCTGATCAGCCCTACTGCCTTCAAAAATGCTAAACAAAAGATCTACACTGTGGTGTACTCTGGCATGTGATGGTAAAATAAGTAAAAAAAAATATGCAGTTATATGGCACCTTGTATACTTCTGAATGAAATCATGAAAGAAACCCATTCAGGGATTTACAGTTTTGGTTTTCCAAGTTCTCTGAAAATTGAATTTTACTTTATGGATTCTCTGGTTAAAAGCAGGAGCTGGCAAATGTGTCATGGTTCAAATGAATAGTTGATCTATTCATAAGACTAGGAGACTGTCCACACAGGCATATTTCCTGCTGTTTGGTATGCTGATTAGTCTGCTTTTTTTACTGGGTCCACACATGGCTATCACTGGAGTGAACGAATTTGCCCCAACCTGTATCTTTCTGTCCCCTGGCATGAGGTTCTACTATTTTGGTGCAGGTTGGTGGACTTTAGTTTAGTCCATTCCAGTGCATGTAGTTTCTTGAAACAGATTTAATTAGAGCTTTGAAGCTGTCAAAAGCTCCTTCTGGTGTTAATTTCCAGTACCTTGAAGTGGTTTACGAGCCGCTTCAGAATATTGGCAAACTGAACACTTCATCTGCTTGTCTGCAGATGGGCAGGGTAAGCAAATTATTTTTCCAGTTGGGTCTACTAGATTGTCACTGATGCACCGAATCACTTAGATTAAATTATTTTAAAAACATTGCTTTGCTGTGTACCTCTCTGAAAATGTCATAGTAATATAATTTGGATTTATTGTACAGTATTTTGAATGATATTAGTTTATTTTAAAAAGCTATGGGTTGTTCTTAAAGAAATGGGTATGCCTCAACTTTGATTATCCTGAATAACCTATACAGTACTGTGGACAAAAAGCTATTGTTAAAACACAATATGGAGAAATAGAGTGGTTTCTCATAAGAAAAGGTGCCAGACCAGGTGTATTTTATCTCCCTGACTGTTCAGTTTATATGCAGGAAAGCTGCATTAGATATTGTATTGCCCCTTGGCTGTGGGTGCAGGATTTCAGAGGATTCGAAGGAAATGACAGAACTCCAGATTTAGTTACAAGGAGACAAGCTTCTTGAATAACTTACACAGGCACTCAGTGGCTGGAACAGACGATAGCATGGCTCACGAGTCATGGCAAGAAATTTGAACTTTCAATTGAATGAAACAAATAATCTTTATATGTGTCTGCAGTTTACACTAAAAAGTTGGAGCTGGATAATACACCATTAGTTCACATGCTTTGAAGAATGATACAGGCATGTGAACCACTCCTTATTCAGTCTACCAACATGATAACTTCATGTAGGCATAAACAAGCTTTTCAGGAACATTTGTTAAGCACATCTGTTATCTCCATTGGGGAACTACAAGCACCTATTTGAATCCAACAGCTTCCAAGTCATGGAGGGGAAATTCAAGGTACTGATTTTGCTTAGCCTGTTCTCCCTTCTCATGTGGTGCTCATCTCCCTAACACAACTTATCCCACACAGATGTCCCACATTTCTCAAGTCTCGATTTATCCACTTAATACACTTGTGAATCCAAATATTTCAGTGGGCTCCTGAATCATGCAAGAAAAGTGACGTCATGCAGTGGCATCGTTTCTTTCATATATTTAAATTGAAAACACCCATTATTTTTAAAATCTAGAAAAATCCTGTTACAGCAATTACCTCCTATAATTTATCTATACTTTGGCCTTTCTAAATTAGACAAGCTCAGAGCTACTTTGGGGGACAAGGGGCATAATAGGATATTTTTTAAAAAATATTTGGTAATATCTTTTCTCTTTTATATGATTTTATGTGATAAATAATGTTTCATTACTAAACTTAAAATTTAGTATTTAGGAGAGCATTGGGGCTGGATTTTTTCCCAAAACATTTTTTCTTTTACATTATTAATTTATATGAAGTTATAGTATAAAATCATATTAACAGGAACCATGGTGATGATGATCACACAATTGAAAAGCAACACATTTCTAAAACATTTCTAGTGCATTGCTCTTTATGTAACACTAACAAGTCACATATATGAAAATATATTCAGGTATATACACATGCAGGTATGTATATCAGGACACTGTTGCATGTACTGGTCATTTCCTGGATTGACTACTGCAAAGCTCTCTACATGAGGCTTCCCATGAGGCTGGCCCAGGGTTTGCAGAAGGTCCACGGCAGTTGGGATGGTGGATGGTGCAAGTAAATTTGATCACATATCCCCAGTCCTGGCCTGCCTGCACTGGTTACCAGTTGCCTCTTGGATCAGATTCAAGTTTCTGTTGATTGCCTACAAAGCCCTCTACAGTTTGAGGCCACACTACTTGTCAGAGTGCATTTTCCCAATGCCATCTACACATACCTCTAGGTCATCTCAGACACTGCTCCTCCAGTTGGCCACTCCAAAGAAGGCCAGAAAATCATCTACCAGAGCTAGAGCTTTCTTCATGGTGGCACCAATGCTCTGGAACCAACTCTCAGTGGAGCTGTGCCTGGCTCTCTCCCTCTCAACATTTAAAATTCACCTTAAAAGCACTTCCTTGCAGAGAGACCTTCCTCGGTTATCCAGCCTGATTTTCAATATGCCTTATGCTCAGTGTGTTGTCATTTATCTTTCTTGGACTTATCACTGTTTTCTGTGTCTTTTACAGTGGTGCCTCGCTTGACGAGGATAATCCGTTCCAGCAAAATTGCTGTAGAACGAAATCCTCGTCAAGCGAAAATAAAAACCCATTGAAATGCATTGAAAACCATTTCAATGCATTCCAATGTGCTAAATACCTCAGCGTCCAGTAAAGATCCTCGATAGGGCGGCCATTTTCTGGTGCCTGTGAAGCGAAAAATGCCTCCTAAAAACAGCAGGGAGCCATTTTAAACAGCAGGTGGTCATTTTGAAACCCAACGATCAGCTGTTTTCAGATCGTCGTAATGTGAAGAATCGATTCCCGAAGCAGGGAACTGATCATCATAAAGTGATTTTTGGCCATTGAAACATTGTTTTGCAATTGCAAAAACCTCACCGTCAAGCAGATTCGTCATTTAACAAGGTAATCGTTAAACGAGGCACCACAGTATTTGAATTTGATTGATTAATTTTTTTAATTATTGTGAACCGCCCAAAATAATGCATTGCACTAATGCGGTGCCATATTAANNNNAAATAAATAAATATTTTTTTAAAAAAAATGTTACTAGCCAGCAAGTAATAAACTACTTTTCAGAAACAACAGGTAAAATCCATGACAGCATCTGAATGAGCCATTCTCAAGCTTTTTTGGGCCACAGCCTTAAACACAATATGAAAGAAATGTAGGCCGAATCAGGTTTGCATAAGTTGCGCTTCAAATTTTATAAGATGGTATGTGAAGAATTGTTTCCAGTCTGTGCCCCCCGCCTTTAAATGTGTCAGGAACCCCCAGGGGGGCCATATGAGACCTCTTGAGAATGGCTGGCATAAATTATCTGTTTTACTCTTTATTCTGTCTTTGCTTTAGTGTACCTCTGTGTTCTAATACCTTTTCTTTTGTTCATTCATTAAGAGAAATAATGAATTCATCTATTTTAGGCTTAGCTTACATCCCTTTCTTTATATTCCTTCGAACAATTATGGAGAACAAAAGGTATCACCCCAGCATGTCAGTGTTCATGGTTTCTGCAGACTTTGAACTGGAACATAGGATCCAAAATGTTTTAACATTGTCTATTTGCATTGAACATTCCAACAGTGAAAAACAGCCAATCTGAGTCGTTTGTGGCTTCAGCCACACGGTGGCAATATAGTCAAACATATTGCAATAATTGCACTGAGGCATTCACAGGAAGCATTGGCAGAGGTTGTTCTCCCTGATAAAGGGATAACACTCAGCGGAGCAAGCAATCAGTGGAAGGAAAAATCATTCAGTAGAGATAGTCACCAGAGAAGGTCAGAATCTTTATATTTGGGCTGGAAATTGTAAGGAACAAGCACCCTGAACCATGGAAAACTGCCTCAGGAACATCCAAGGTCTGTATCTTCTGCTCTTGTTCTCTGGGTCTGGAATATTTTGTGCCTCTATCCATTATTCTGTCCCTGAAGAGAAGAGAAGTGGGTCTTTGGTGGCTAATGTGTTGAAGGATTTAAAACTGAGAGCAGGGGAGCTGTCTGCTCGCAGAGCCCAGATAGTTTCCAAAGGTAATAAGCAATACTTCCACCTTGATACCAGTTCTGGAGATCTTTTGATAAATGACAAAATAGACCGGGAAGCTTTGTGTGGCCAGACTGAACCTTGCTTATTTCTCTTTCAAATAGTGCTCCAAAATCCTCTAGAGTTCTATAGTATAGAAATGAAGATAGAAGATGTCAATGACAATGCCCCCAGATTTCTTAAAAAGGAATTTCAGCTGAAAATTCCTGAACATGTTCTCCTAAATTCACGATTTCCCTTGGAATCTGCCAAGGATCAGGACCTGGGAGACAACAGCATTCAAAACTACACACTCAGTCCCAATGAGTATTTCCATCTGGCTGTGGAAAGCAATCCTGATGGAAGCAAAGTAGTGGACCTCGTTCTGGAGAAACCACTGGACAGGGAGAAGGAGCCACACTTTGGATTGACACTTACGGCGATTGATGGAGGGACACCACGGAGAACAGGCACAGTTCAAATTAACATTAAAGTTCTTGACAATAATGATAATTCTCCTCAGTTCACACAGTCTGAATATAAGGCAAGTCTAAAAGAAAACAGTCCTAGAGATTCTCTTGTCTGCAAAGTGGAAGCCAGAGATTTGGATTTTGGTTCAAATGCACATATCACTTATTCATTCCATCGAGTGCCTGAAAATATACATGACTTGTTTCATTTAAATGAAATGACTGGGGAAATCAGAGTTCTGGGAGAAATTGATTATGAAAAAGAAGCCAGTTATGACATGGACATCAAAGCAACAGATGATGGAGGACTTTCTGGACACTGCAAGGTCCTTGTAGAGATTGAGGATGTGAATGATAATGTCCCAGAAGTATCAGTCATATCCCTTACCAATATCATAGCTGAAGATGCTCCCCTGGGCACAGTGGTGGCCCTCTTCAATGTTGCAGACCGAGACTCTGGAGATAATGGAAGAACTGTCTGTTTTATGGAGTCAGATTTGCCCTTTATGTTAAAAACCACTGTGAACAACTTTTACCAACTTGTGATCCAAAATCCCCTGGACAGAGAGAAAGTCACAGAGTACAATATCACCATCACCGCCATAGACAAGGGCTCACCCAGTCTCACTTCCACAAGAATTATTAATGTCAAAATCTCCGATGTCAATGACAACTCTCCAGTGTTTGAAAAGGCTTTGTATACATTGCAAATGTATGAAAATAATATTCCAGGCCTACTAATTGGCTCAGTCTGTGCTGTCGATCTGGACACAGGAAAGAATGCGAAAGTGATTTACTCACTCTTGCCTGGGAAGATTGGTGGAGGGCCTGTGGTCTCTTACATCTCAGTTGACTCTGAAACTGGAAATGTGTATGCTCTCAGATCACTGGATTATGAGCAGATCAAAGCCTTCCATGTTACAGTCAAGGCAACAGATGGTGGGACTCCTCCATTGAGTTCAGAGGTAATTGTCCAAGTCTCCATCCTGGATGAAAATGACAATGCACCCTTTTTCTTGTACCCCCTTCAAAATAGCACATCCCCCTGCAATGAGCTGCTTCCCAAGACAGCAGAGGCTGGTTACTTGGTCACCAAAGTGGTGGCTGTGGATGGAGATTCTGGCCAGAACTCCTGGCTCTCCTATGAACTGCTGAAGGCCACAGACCCATCTCTTTTCACTATTGGAGCCCAGAATGGAGAGGTGAAAACCAGGAGGCCCCTGAATGAGCGAGACACAAGCAAACAGAGGCTTATCATCCTGGTCAAAGATAATGGGGTCCCCCCTCAGACCAGCACTGCGACCCTCAACATCCTTCCAGTGGATGGCTTTTCTGATCCTTATATGAAGATGGTGGATGTCAGACAACAAGATCCAGAAGAAGAGGAGGAAACCTTGACTGTGTATTTGGTGATCTGCCTGGCTGCAGTCTCTGCCTTGTTTCTAGTATCTGTTGTTTCTTTTGTGGTTATCAAAATCTATAAGAAAGGCACCAGGGAATGTTTTGTGGCTGCACCTCCTCATTTCCCTCCTACTCGACCTGATATTCCAGAAGGCTGTTCGGATTCTCAGAGTGGGTCACTTTCCAGGAATTATCGCTATGATGTTTGCTTAACTGGCGGATCCTTAAGCAGTGAGTTCCGATTCCTCCGGCCTCTCATTCCTGTCTTTTCTATGGGGGAGCCAATCATACCGGTGAATCCCAAGACCTCTTCTGGTTCTCAAGACCTTCAGGACCATTTGGGGAGCAGTCAGTCAGTGGAACAGGTGAGAGAATAGTCCATATTTTAAAATTACTTTCTTAGGAACATGAAAGCAGGTCACTACATCACTGGAAACTCCTTTTATTTGGCAATTAGTAATGTCTGATATTTGTTGCTTCCCATTCATTGTGTTGTTCTTCATTGATGAAATAGGGAGTATTTATGGAGAAAGCTGATTTTTTTTCATGTTCTGTTCGTCTGAAATCAATGTGAGAAATTTGGGCCCATCCTTCTATTTCCTTGGCCTCCATTTATAGCAACAAAAAATTACTGGTTCAGCAATCACCCAATTAAAAAGGAAAGGATCTCAGAATAAACTTTTTTTTCTTGATGTAAAGCTTTTTCTCAAAATGGAAATTTATTCATATACTGTAGTAGCACATCCACATTGATCTTAGTATCATCTCTTGTGAATGACTTTGTGAGTTTTTACCCTGTTTTATGTACATCCGTTAGTGTTGGGCTGAAATGCTGGAAACAAAAACTTGCCCCAAAATTTGTGTGTGTGTGATATGCATACATGTGTGTTTAGATATGTGAATGTTTCATAACTGTTGCAAAATTAGCAATTAGAACATGAGCACATTTAATAGCCCTCTTGAATTTGTTTTTTCTATGATCAGTTTCCTGTCAGCCATTAACTAATATATTTAAATTTCCAAAGCTCTATAAAAACTTTGTGGATCAAGGACAGAAAAGTTTTCAAACAAAGTGATCAATTATATTCATCTGGGAAATTACTATTGTGTGAAGCAAAGTAGAAAGATCAAAGAATAATCAAGTAAAATGGGACTACTTGGACACAGGACAGATTTTCTGTGACTGTGGAGAAATTCAATTAATGCAGCACTTATGTAGATGCAGTTTATGCCCCACTACATATACAAAAGAACATCTAGCAAACAGCCAGTATAATGATGTTCAAGTAGCATGCTTCTTATCCTAACGTTTGATTTTTTAAAAACTTTATATTTCGTATAAGTCCATAATTTTAAATTGTGTAATGCTCAGATGCAAATAAAGAAATGCTGTGTTTTGAACAGGGCCTGATAAAGTAAGACTGGCAAAATCCTGTTGGTGCAATTACAGAAACATATGCTGTGTTTTGAACAGTTGGCCTGAGAAAGTAAGAGTGACAAAATCCTGTTGGTGCAATTACAGAAACATTTGATTTACATTTCCTGTTGCCCCCCCTCCCAATTTCAGATTATGAAACTCCCCAAGGCTCCCTTTTGCCTTGTGGAGGCCTTTGGGAGTTTTGGGTTGGGGGGGTTTAATAGTTAAAACTTGCTGCTGAATCACCATGATCCGGGGGTGATTTTTTACTATTAAAAGCTCCTCTCATGCACCACCTGAGAGTCCCAAAGGCTTCTCTAGGGAACCCTAGGGAGCCTTGGAATCTGAAAGAGAGGGAGATAGAGAGCTTTACATTAATTTAAGTTCATTATTTCCTGTGCTCCAATCCAGTTTGCACTGGTGGAATTACGCTAACAGGCTCTTGCCCGGTTACTGTGCAGGATCCTGGCAACTATGAGGTCCTTTGTCAAGCCATTTCAGCATGAAACACCTCAACTTCCCTTTTCCCCTCCAAATGTTCACCACAACATTGAAATGTTTGAGTAGATGTGTGGGGCCATTAATTCTCTGCAAAATGGTGTGAGGGGAAAAGGTTTGGCATCTTTACTTTGGGTAGGTGAAATTCAAATACCTTTTTTGTTGTGGGGGGAGGTCCTACTTTTCAGTCAGGTGGAAGTGGGTTCTTCCTATTCTTGCCATCTCCTCTCTTTTTTTAAACTGGAAAAAAAAGTCTTGCCACAAATTCAGGCAGTAGCCTTGGCTCCTCCGAGTAGCCTTGAAAATTGCTTCTCTATAATAGCACATTGATATGCCAGCAGTGAGTGAAAAAGAGATATTTGTTAGAAAGAAAAAGGCCTGTTAAAAAATTAAAGCCTATATTCTTGCTCTAGAATGGGGAGAAGGATTTTCTAGTTTTTTTTATTTTACTTTTTCCTCATGTTTACATTCCTGTTCTTTTTAGGCTTTTTGATTTCCATCACTCTCACAATTGTGTGTATCTATTGACTCAATTCTTACCTTGCATTTGACTTAAATTAATATTCTTGCTATATCTGTTCATCTAGGCTTGAATGTACTTCATCTACTAGTGATCTTTGAATGAATCTTAATGACCATAATTAAAGCCCACACTTGTTATCTTCAGTGATCACGAAACAGTCCTGAAAAATTAGACTAGCAGTGTGCTGGGCCTTTTGCATTTTTAAAATTACGTATCCTATTCCCTCCCTCACAACTGTGTATACAAGGATCCCAGCTGGGCTGACGAGGGCAGGGCATTTTGGAGATCATTCATTCATAGGGTCACCATAAGTTGGAGGCTACTTGACCGCACATACCACCAAAAAACATGTCCTACTCAGAGCACCTGGCTGCAGAGTCAGGGGTCAGGAGTTCATCCTGCCTCATAGAACAGTGGCTCTAGTTTGCCTTCAGATGAAGGGAATGGTAAACCACCTCTGCTCCAGCTACAGATACTGAATAAGAAAAAACTGAAAGCTTCTATACAAGCGTCCAGGAAGAAATTGATAACAGCCCAAAATAGGATGTACAGTACAGTGGTGCCCCACATAGCGATGATAATCTGTTCCGGAAAAATCATCGCTATGTGGAATTGTTGCTATACGAAACCAAAAAAGCCCATAGGAATGCATTAAAACATGTTTAATGCGTTCCAATGGGCAAAAACCTCACCCTTCGGCGAAAATCCTCCATACGGCCGCCATTTTCGCTGCCCGATAAGCGAGGAATGGGCGCAAAAACACAGCGGGTGGCCATTTTTTTACCCAGCGGCCTTTTGGAACCGCCAATCAGCTGTCAGAAAAAACATCACTATGCGAAAATCGGTAAACGAAACAGCTTACTGATCATCGCAAAGCGGTTTTTCGCTATCTAAATCATCGCAATGTGATTGCTTTTGCGATCGTAAAAACTTAATCACTATGCGGCTTCGTCGTTAAACAAAGCGCTCGTTATGCGGGGCACCACTGTACATGTAATTTTAGGCGACTGGAACACAAAAGTAGGAAACAGAGAAGAACCTAACATTGTTGGAAAATTGTCTAGCTCAGAAGTCAGAAATGAAGCAGGGTAAGGATGCATAGAATTCTGTAAAACTGACAACTTGTTTCTTGCAAATATGTGTTTAAGGCAACTAAACAGATGAATGTATATGTAGATGTTACCAGAAGACCAATGCAGAGCTCAAATAGATTACATAGTCAAAGGCAGAAGCTGGAGAACCACATTATCCATACCAAAAGAAGAGCAGGAACAGAATATGGTGGAGGCCAAAATTAAAAGATGAAAAAGAGCTCTAGAACAGTTATAGAGCCAAAGTATTATTTGAAGAACATTTCTTGAAGACCAAATTACAAACAGATTTGTATTATGAAACTGAGTTGACCACAGACCTAAAGAAGTGTGGGTTGAAACTGGAGATATTATCAGAAAATAATGCAAAAAACACAAAACATGTTCCAACCCATAGAGCTAGTGTTTTGTCCGCAGACAATCCTCCGTGGTCACGTGGCCAGATGACTAGACATGGAACACTGTTTACCTTCCCACCGAGATGGTACCTATTTATCTACTCACATTTTTGCATTTTGCATGCTTTCGAACCTCTAGGTTGGTGGGAGCTGGGAGAAGCAATGAGAGCTCACTCTGTTGTGTGGATTCGATCTTACGACTGCAGGTCTGACCTTGCAGTACAGAGGCTTCAGTGGTTACTTTTACATTAATAAGGATACTTAGCATTATTTTTATCATCACTATACACACCTCTCAATTTATCAACATCCAAGCAAACTCTGCACTTTAAGCATATTCCATAACTATTATACAAACAGAACAGTTAATGCAATATTACAAACTTTTATCCACCTGTTAGTCATTTGACCTTTGAGACAAGGTGTCAGCAACCACATTCTCAGTCCCTTTTACACTGTGGATTTCAAAGTCAAAGTCTTACAGGATCAGTGCCCATCTCATCAGTTTACTGCTCTTGGCTTGAATAGTCCTTAGCCACATAAGAGGAGAGTGGTCTGTGTACAGGACAAATCTTCTCTCCCAAATGTACGGCTTCAGCTTTTGCAGCATCCATATGATAGCTAGACACTCTTTCTCAATGGTAGATAAATGTTTCTCTCCAGGTTAGAGTTTCCTGCTGACAGGATCAGTGCCCATCTCATCAGTTTACTGCTCTTGGCTTGAATAGTCCTTAGCCACATAAGAGGAGAGTGGTCTGTGTACAGGACAAATCTTCTCTCCCAAATGTACGGCTTCAGCTTTTGCAGCATCCATATGATAGCTAGACACTCTTTCTCAATGGTAGATAAATGTTTCTCTCCAGGTTAGAGTTTCCTGCTGATGAAAGTCACTGGGTGTAGACTCCCACCATCATCTGCCTAGCACAGCACAGCTCCCAGTCCAACCTTCAACGCATCCAAGCAGATGATGAACTCACGGTTGAAGTCCGGTGCAACAAGGATAGCTCCTGAAGTTCGTGCCCTCTTCAGATGATCAAAGGCTACCTGGCACTCTGATGTACACTGGATATCCTCAGCTTGCCTCTTTCAGGTTAAGCCTGTTTTCTTTTTTATTAGTCGCTTCATTTTCTCAACTGTGGGAAGGGTAGGCAGTTTCTTCCACTCTTCCAGAACAGCTATGGCTGCAGTCTTCTTTGAAATCTTATTGATCTCACCTTTACCCTCACCCATAAACTTGACTGCAGGTTCTTTCATCACAAAGCTCTTCATATGAAGGGGGGCACTTTTCTGGGTCACCTCAAAAT